GGGAATTTAAAATTTTAAACAGTCACGAGGTATGGGGAGATTTATTTGGAGCTTGTGGGTTGAAGGACAAAAGAAGGTTGGGCAGGAAAATGGTTGGAGAGGAAAATGAATTTGAAACAATTGGTACTTGAGGTGGTCACAGGAAAACTTAGAAATGGGAGAGGCACATCATTTCCCAGGCTCACTCGATGCTTCGCTCTTGCTTTAGCAAAGCACAGAGCCCTGTTGGCAGCCTCCCTCCCACTCACTGCCCAGCATGACTGCAATCAGAATAGCTAAGAGGCTTGAGCACCTCTGTAAAAAATGGTGATTACCTGCAGGAGAGTAACTCTATTTCTTCCTTTCCTGTATGTTTTGATTTTTTTTTTTTTCATAAAGACATGCAAAGAACCCAACCATTCCAAAATAAAACAAGAACTTTTTGAATTCTTCCTTTCTCCCCACTCCTAACCAGACCACCTCCCCTTTTTATAAATCTCTCCGCAGCGTTGTAATGATAATAATGAACCCTTATACCTTCTATGCTTCGTGCTCTTCAGAGGACTTTCATTATCTAATTTAATTTTCAAAGCAACTCTGTCAGTGGGGAATGCAAGGAACTTTACTCTGCAAAATAGATGAAGATTCTGGAGCATGAATGGGGTGAAATTATCTATCTAAGGTCATCTGGCTCAATTAACAACAAACAGGCTGCTCCCCAAATCTCTAGGTTGAGGGTTCTCCTCGCTACTAAACTAATTACTAAACTAATTGTCTTCCTCCTTAAGTATTCTGGAGCGTGATTCTTTTTACATTATATTAAGACAATTCAGAACACATATGAAACATAAGTTAGGGGCTGACGTTTTACTTTGCCAAAAGGTTCCTGCGCTCTGCCCAAGAATTCACCTCAGGGCTCTTTTTGGATTTTGGGCAAGAAAAATAGTGACCATGCTTAACTTGCTACGGAGAGCTCAGTTCAAAATACTGCAGTGTTGTGGGAAACAGACGAGCTTAGAAGTGAGCCACAGGAGCACCTGTCTGGCAGAGTTTTGCGAGTGGGCATTTTGGTAATACTCATGGAATGAAACAGACTGAGCCCATTCTCCCAACCCTCTTAGAGTCTTCATACCCCTAGAAAATCTAAGGACTATGTGCAAAATGTTTTTCCAAATTTCGAAGTCTCTGGGACACCCCCCGCCCATTTCTGCTCACCTTGACCATGAGTTTGAAGTCGGGGAGCTTGACCCACACCCAAAACTCCTGTGGCTGCTGCACATTTGGGGCCCTGATTGAGTATCTACCTCAGACACCTCATTGAACCTCTGAGCCCCTAGTGGCTCAAAAAGTCAAGGAAGTGTAAAAAGAAATAACAAAGTGAATTGTGTCCAGCTACTGATTTAAGTGTGTGTGCAAGAGAACCCAGCTTTGCCAGGATAAGCAATTTTTTTTTTTAACCAAGTGTTTTTGTTCATCTTTTGCAGTGAAATTACAGACAACCCTTATATGACTTCAATCCCTGCAAATGCTTTCCAGGGACTGTGCAATGAAACTGTGACACTGTGAGTATTGCCAAGGCTACTCCTCTCTACAACAAATTTTTATTTTGGTCATTGTCCTATTTTCAGGCCATAGGAGAACCATACTACCTTGGAATCTATTTTATTAATCTACAAAGTGTTGCCCGGAATTAATAGTGTAACTTTATTACCTTAGAGAATGGTGCTCTACAGGTGACAAGATGCTTTAGGTCTTTAAGTCTTTAAGTCTTGTCTTTAAGTCTTCCCTTACAGAAGTGGTCAGCACACTCAATGGGTAAAGGAGCAATTAGGTTTTACCAACCTAAAGGTCTTTGTGACCCCATCCAATTGCCGACGGGAGGCAAAAACAGCCATTGTGTTCTTGTATGGTGCATAAACAAAAGAGCATATATTCCAATAAAATGTCTTTTACAAAAACAGGCAGTGACCAGATTTGGCCTACAGGCCTTGTGATACAATATTCTGTATTCTAGTGTCCCATGGAGCAGAAGCAGAACTTAAAATAAATTGAAATGACATTCCTGAGGTCACTGAGTTAGAGAACAGGACCATTAAAGATTTTCCAAATTCTGTACTCACACTTCAACTTTGTCATCACAAACTGAACTTCTGTAAAGTATTGAATAGAAACAGTGCTGCTATACATTATTGTCCTTCCAGAGTTTGAATGGATTCTGTTCTTTCGATGTTCAAAATTAGAGGCTTTACCAGGAAGATTCACAAAAAGTTCTAAAAGAGAAGGTCTAATAGAGGTATAAAGATAAGTTATCCAAACTGATAGGGAACTGCCCTCTCACTGAATTAATAACCAAACAGGACTGGGATTACATCCAAAGGATCCCTTCTCTCCATGTTCAGTACCACTGCACAGGAACACATCTGGTGGGATTTTTGCCTGGATTTTCACCCTTGCTTTTTCTCTTGCCACACTGTACCCCTAAGCCTGTAACTCTGATTGAATGGTTCCCTAGCAGAAGTGTTCCAAGCTTCCACCTAACTCCTCTAAAGAGACTGTCCAACTCCACTCTTAGCATTCTAGCCCTGTGCAACTAATGGAACCAGAAGGACTCTCTCACAGTGGGCCTTTTGGTTCATCCCTTTCCAAACATGGCAAGAATAAATCAGCACTAAAACAATGCCATGGGCATGCCAGTGTCAGGTCACTATCTGTGGGTTCTCACATGAGTGCTGATAACTGCAAGACCACTCAGGCTCAGGGTGAAACTACAATGGGGTTTGCTTAACAAACAAGAAGTGGGGGAACAGAAACATTTCTAAGGCCACGAGTGCCACCTGTCTCAGCCCACTTAGTCTCTGCAGTGTCCAGTAGTTCCAAGCAAAGGCCACTAATGCAAGATGACACGATTTTGTCAATGAGGGCCTGGAGTTCATGACACACTGGTAAGCAGTAGACCAGGATCCAACTTAGAGCAGCAGCTAAGGGTGCTCACAGTTGGGGCCTGCAGTGACAACACAGCAGCCCACAGTAATAGTCTGAAGCCAGAGCTAAATGGCACCGACACTGAGCCAGGCAGCAATAGAGGCAACAGCGCTGGGAGATGGAACAGACGCTCAGAAGCTGTAGACAGCTCTCACTAGGGGCCGGACATAGTGCTGGTCACCTGTCAGCGGTGCTATTAGCTCTGGCCAGGGGTGTCGGTCATCAAGAGGCAGCATCACAGACACCAGTGTTTCAGCTCTTTGTGAGCTATTGGTATGAACCAATAGCCAACAGTTCTTTGGGCCAAAGCCAACTGTGACCTGAGAGGCAGAGCCAGACACAGCTGTAGTGGCCAGATTGCTGTGCAGTGGTCTGTGGGTCCAGATTTCATCTGCATCTTGATATGTCTTAAGAGGCCATCTGCTGAATCCATCTCACTTTGGAGGCAGGCTGCTGATACTTCATTTCTCTTTAGGGTGGGGCTGCTCAGTGAATCAAGCTGGCTCTCAAAGGTGTCTGCCTTCTCACTTCTTCAGGATCCCCAATCCGACAAGCCAGACTGGACTGTATTCCCATCCTAAGCATTTGGCTGGTGATATTAAACTGAATTTTCAATCCACATAATAAGCTCAAGTCCTTGAATGATAGATGAAGAGCTCAAATCCAGTAGATCCATTTCCAGTCCCGGTGCGCAATACAAACGAGAAAACCCCAGACCCCACCCCAGCTCCTGGGCTCTGCAAGTCACAGCTGGAGTGTGGAAGGAGGCACGCTGTCACACCTTCAGTGAGGCCAGTATAACAATGCAAGGGGCCGTGAGCCACAGCAGCACAGTCCAGCTGTTGCAGCATGAGCTCCATGCTGGCCAGGCACTCTGTGGGCCTCTGTTCTGGAAGCTTGGCTTCTGCAGCCAAGCCGGGGCAGCCATCAGGAAACCACCACAGTGGCCGCTGCTGGGCCACTTTCAGGGCAGCCTGGACACTGCCCCACTTGGGCCAGACCACCGGAGCCTCAGCAGGGCCTCCTGTACTGGGGCAGCAGGTGGGGAAGCACCAGAGCAGCTGCTCAAGTGAGTTCCACTCGAGACCCTGCAGTGGGTGCTCAAACCCAGCTGGCACAGGGGAGAGGCTGGCCACAGCAGCCCGCTAAGATGGCTGGGAACTCCCGCCATTGCGGAATCTGGGTCCACCGGGGATCCCCCTGGGGCCCCTCACAGTGGGTGTAGCTGGCAGTAAAACTGCTGCTTGCTCAGCCGGCAGCAGCTGGCACCAAGGGAGGGGAGCAGCCTCTGGCCCCAGACAAGTCGCTAGGCCCCGCTGCTTGGCGCCAGCAGAAGCTGATCCTGCACCCGGCTTACGCCAGGGGCGCCTGGTTTCAAGAGCTCTCTTGAGAGGACAAGATTCCTGCTCGGTCACCATTTCACTTGACAAAACAAAGAACTGGTCTTAGCCTGTTCAGCCCCAAACCTAGCGTATGTTCCTCATTTCAGGGTTGTCATTGTCCTATTTAGTACTCATGCGCCATAAACTCCTGATTTTCTAACAGAATATTACTTATACCTCTTGCATAATTTCTTGAGGACCCAGCAGTCCTCCCAAGTGAAAGCTGCCCACAGTCCCAGCCTGGCAGGGGCTCAGGATGCTGCTGGATATTTGACTATGAGAAGCTACTATTTCCTGCAGTCTGGAGCTGGGGGTGGCCTGAGATCACCAAGACCTTTGCGAGTGACTGGTTCCAGGTTCCTGCAAAAATTGCTTGCTTCTTTGTTAAAGCTCGGGCCCAAAACACTATACACTTGAAAGAATATGTGTCCAACAGTAGCATTTGCACCCACATTCCTGGGAGGGCGACGTTGCACTAAGAGCTTGCATGCTCTCTCTTTCTTCATACTTGGATTTTTCAAGACCTACTTGTCCCTTCAGAGTTTTAGTTAAGCTCTGAAATGGAACTTCAACAAAAAAACATTTGTAATGTCAAGGACTTTCCAAAAGTTCGGGAAACTAGAAATACTCACTGTATAATTCTCAGAGCTTCATAAAAAAAAAAAAAAAAAACTCTAGTTGAAACAAAACTTAACCATGGGAGCTTTCTCAGCTTCTGTGCCTGGCACCCCGGGGGACTGAGTCCACTCCCAGTCCACATTCATAGCTGGAATTAAACCCTTGTGTCATTATTTAAAACAAAACAAAAACAAAGTTTACTTCTCCAACAGAACTACATAGGATAAATCCAATTTTTCAGGGTACTCCTTTTAATATAGCATCTCATAAATGTCCTAAACTGTGGGAAATACATTAATGATTTGAGCCTTCCAATAACCTTACCATTAGGTCTTATCACATATTCACAGATCAGGAAACTGGAGCTACTGGAGACTGAGGGATTCTCAGGATCACCTGCTATGAAGTCCCAGAGCCAAGTCTAACTCTAAATTTGGAGTTTCTTGTGTGCTTCTTACTGTGTTATTACTATAATAGGAGCCACAGGTAGTGGGATACAGTGACATTCCAGAGTTCCCCCACAAATGCCACTGGCTGTGTCTGTGTGTGATCACCGCTGCCTTCTCTAATCTCAGACCATAGCAGCTCGCTATGGACCAGAACTCCCAGCCTGGGCTGCTTCTCCCACAGGAAGGCTGTGTGCCTTTTGAGGGTGGGAAGGCTTACATTTGTGGTGAGAAGTCCTGATTCCCAACAGCTCGTCAGCAACATGGTTTTGGCAGGTCATCTCCATGTCTCAGTATGTTCACTAGGAAACAGAAGTGTAATACTTCTGTTTGGCCCCTGGAGTCATTACATGAATTAATCCATTGCAGAAAGAAAGAAAAAAAAAACAGCAACAAGTTACAACTTTAAAATTTCCACAGAAAGCCACCATCCATGTTCTTTGTCAGATTCGTCCCCGAGGTTCACTTCAATTCAATCCACACCTTAAAGTGTTTAATCTCTGACAAAACCTGAGGGTAAAACTGTGACTAAAACACAAATGTAAGATCATGCTTTAATTGGAAAAATATAAAACCTGTCACTCTGATGAATGTCTTGAAGAGTGCTTGTATTTTAAAAAACTGCAATTATTCCTCCTTTACTGACATTGGATTAACTATTACCTGAAATCTCTGTTTTTTTGAGTAGGTGTGGAACATTTTTTAAGTTTTTAATAATGGAAAATTCTTTTCCTCAAAGTGAATCTACTTCAGCAAAACAGCTTCAAATTATTAGAAGCCAAGTCTGGAGAGTGGGGACTTAAACTGGAAAGTATTATCAAATTTCCCAAATAAGACATTTTGTAAAGTTTTCCACAGGACTTGAGAACCCTCAATCCACCTTTCTGACACTGAAGAAATGAAGCCCAACCCTCAGAACCTGCCAGCACCACCTCTCACAGGTCACTGACTTTTCTCTTTGTGGTTGCAGGAAACTCTACAATAATGGCTTCACTGCGGTCCAAGCACACGCTTTCAATGGGACGAAGCTGGATGCTGTGTAAGTGAGGGAAGTTGGGGAAAAGGTTCTCCTCTCCCAGATACCCACTCCCAAGAAGGACCCACCACACAGTGGGACAGAATTCTGCCATAGGTTCTGCCAGAGCACCCCTCAACCCCAGAATGTCCAAGACTTGGTGTTGATGTTAAGGGATGTGGCAAGTACTGCCGTGGGAGACACTACGGTGACTCCCACTCCAAATCCAAAGCTCTTATCCCGATCTAATGGAAAATGATAGTGTCCCTTCAGTTACCCACAGTGCAGGTGTGTGCGTGTGTGTGTGTGTGTGTGTGTGAATGTTTATTTACTCTGTACATGAAAGAATGAAAGAAAGGGGCTATAATTAAGCCCAAAGCTGTTCAGAAAGTAAGGTTTTCCAATTTGGTTCTTTCTGACTGGTTTTCAGGAGAGGTATCAGTTTATACTTGATTCACTCAAAAATACCCAAAAAGCCATAGCCCACCTTGTCGTCCCGCAACATAAGAGAACTGGACATTTGCAGAATGCTGGTTATTTTTTGTCATACTTTCCTAGGAGGCATTTGTGGTCCCCAGCACCTACGCCAGGGCAGTTTTTGTTTCCAAGGGTTTGTGGACTGGCGCAACCATATTGGTGTGTTTGTAACCTAATCGAAAAATAGCTTTAGTGGCGTTGCTTCCCACAGTATGGTGGACGACTAGTTTCAGTGCCCTCCCATTACAAAACAACTATATCTTACGTTTTTTTAAAGTGCATCTGAGGGCCCTTCCTGATGACTCAACAGACTAAGGTGCAGCATTGCGACGCTGGCCATAGCTGCCTCAGCGCGAGTTTGATCCCCAGTCAGGGAGGTGACCCACATGGTGTGGCAGACCTCTCCTGACCTGCCCCCTGCTCCCCCAAGCAGTACACTTCGTCAATCTGACTGTTCTGCTCCCTACTCTGTCTCTGGTGGATCCTCTCACCACCCCTGCACCTGTATGCTGTACCCCATCTCTCTATGCTTAAATAAATAAATCTTTTTAAAAATAAAATAAAATGCATTTGATGTTACAGCTCTAAAAGAGAGGAGTAAAATAAATGAGGAAGCCAGGAGCTGATCACAGAGGGTGGAGTCCCCTCCGGCACCTGCCAGCTTCAGTGTGCCAGATCAGGCGGAGGCGCAAGTGGGAGGACAGAGCAAGTGAGGGAAACCCCGAGCCACCAGGTGCAGCCAGAAACCATGCAAGTAGAGCATGGAGCCCCTTGGTCCCACCTCCAGGCTCCTGAGGAATGAAATGCAGATCTATGGGGGGAGGGGCAATAGCGGAAATCCCATTGCAGGCTCCCAGATGTTTATTTTATTATTAATTTTTGAGATTAGGATAAATCAAATATGAGCTCACAGTTAAAATTCATGCATTGGAGAGAAAAAATAAAACTCGCCATGAACGAGTCAACTGAAGCAACAAATAACAGATTTTTGCTTCTTATTTGTTTTATAACACCCCATTAAGTATTTAAACATATTTTTTCAGCTCCAGAAATCCTATTTGTTTTTTCTAAAATGTACCTGCCCGTTTTTGATTACTGCTAGCTTTTGCAGTAATTTATTTATTTATGTGTGCATTATTCTGGTACAGGTCCGAGGTGCAGGGAAAGAGAAGATTCAACAGTCAGGGTATTAAACAGAACAGGTAGGTCAATGAAGTACACTGCTGAGGGGAGCAGCAGGCAGGTCAGGAGAGGTCTGCTATGCCATGTGGGTCAGTTCCCAGGTCGGGAATCAAACTCATGCTGCCGTGGCTGTGATAGTGCTGTGCTTTAACCCACTGTGCCATCAGGGAGGGCCCTCCATCTTTTTTCTTTGAATATTTTCTATATACTTTTAAAGGTTTTTATAAGTCTTTTTTTTAAAGATTTATTTGTTTATGCATACAGAACTGGGGTACAGGCCAGTGGGTGGTAAGAGAATCCACCAGAGACAGAGTGGAGAGCAGAACAGGCTGACCGGCTAAGTACACTGCTGAGGGGAGCAGCTGGCCAGACAGGAGAGGTCTGCCGCGCCATGTGGTCACCTCCAGGGCCAGGATTGAGCTCGGGTCTAAGGCTGCTGTGGTTAGCTTCATAGTGCTGTGCTTTAACCTGTTGCGCCACCAGAGAGGGCCCTATACTTTTTAAAATAAGATTTACTTATTTATGCATATGAGAACCAGAATACAGGCCAGAGATGGGGGAGGGGGAACAAGAGGATTCACCAGAGACAGAGTGGGGAGCAGAACAACTATTTTTAAACCCAGACATGGTCATTGCAAAATCTGAACACCTATAATTCCAGATCTGTTGTGTTTTACAGTGCCTCTCAAACTTTATTGAGCATATAAACCATCTGGTGAATCTTGTTTTAAAAAGATGAATAGTAGATAATTTCACTCATAAGTGAACTATAGAGAAATAAAACAAGGGAACAGATAAAACTAAACCAACACCAATCCTAGAAAATGACTGCTAGAGGGGGAAAGTGGGAGCAGGGACAAACTGGGGAGAATTGACACTGCTAGAGGGGGAAAGTGGGAGCAGGGACAAAGTGGGGAGAATTGACACTGCTAGAGGGGGAAAGTGGGAGCAGGGACAAAGTGGGGAGAGTGCTTGATAGATTCTAGAGGAAGACTGTGGGGCCTTTGGTAGTGGGTATGGGCTAGAGAGGTGGAACAAAGAGGTGGGAACCTATTCCCATCCCCCTAAATCATGTACAGTATTGTAACCCAGTGTTATCTCGATATCAAGAAAAAAAATCATCAGATTTTGATTTGGTAGATCTGGAGTGAGCTAACAAATTGTTCACACACACACACACACACACAGATTAAGTGCTAGTGCTCAGGTTTCAGGAGAATTGGTGGGCTGAGTATGATTCAATTTTTAAACGGTAGGTGCTAGTAAGTTCAGTTATGATACTTAAGCATGGCTTTCTCAGTTATTCAAAGTGGGTCCCCACTATTTTCTAGGCTTTTGGGTTTCTCAGAGTCTTTAGCAAATGAATAATTAGAGCTAGATTTTTTTGGATTATATGGCTATGACCTCATTCAACTGAATTTTTTTTAAGTTTTATTTATTTATGCATATAAGAACTGGGGTACAAGCCAGAGGTATGGGGAGTGAGAGGATTCAACAGAGACAGTGTGGGAAGCAGAACTGACAGAAATATTAAAATACACTGCTGAGGGGAGCAGCGGGCAGGTCAGGTGAGGTCTGTCATGCTATGTGGGTCACCTCCGAGGCCAGGGATCGAACTTGTGCTATTTGTGAGCAGTGGCTGTGGACTGCTTCACAGTGCTTTGGTTTTAACTGGCTATGCCACCAAGGAGGGCCCCTCATTTAACTGATTTTAATAATTTTTCAAAATATATAAGTATGAGGGCTATCTAAAAAAGATTTAACAGATAGTTGTCCTTATTCATGAAGCTTATTTACAGTATTAGAAAGACATGACTTCCATCTTAATTTTATCATACAAGTCTCACCCAATCCTTCATTTACTTTTTAACATTTATAGAACACCTACTTTCATTGCTCAGCCAATTAAGATCATGAAATACAGAAGCTTCCAACTGGGAAGACTAGACTCATGTGATAGAAAGAAGACAACTCAAACTCAACCATAGCAAGTTTCACCAGCTTCTGTCTATACCAGCATGCCCTGGCATAAATGGTGGAGGCAGAGGCAAAGGCAACAAGCAAGAGCGTTACTAGACTCTAGAACTTAGCTTTTCCAACGTAGCAAGCTCACCAACTCAGTGAACTTCAGATGAAGACTGAGTACAACAGACCTTGATGAAAACACCTGACATGTTACGACATCCGTTAGGCCACGTATGTTTACTATTTGCTCTGAAACATCTCAGGCCTATTACCTCTGACTTCTCGGTAATGCTTAGATTTTTTTCCACAAAGTTTTTGAAAAGTTCCAAATGGAGCGCTCTGTAATCAGGAGAGTTGGCTGTACTAAGTGGCTTTCACTGTAAGCCTTTCTCACTAGAAGCCTGTTATTTTATGATTTTGGCCATAAAATCAGACTATTAAAGGAACTAATTTTCTATTGAAAAGATGGGAAAAAATTACAATGGACCAATAATTTCTGTTCCAGCTTTTCCCCAATTTTTGTAGTTAGAGAAGTAATGGGGTACTGGGAAAGCTCGAGGCTATAGCATTTCCTAAATTACATCCCTTGAACTCTCTCCTCATGGCAAATTAATGGATATTATTTTTTAAAGTTATTAATGACATTATAAAATCAAACTGTCTCCAGGTGCACTTCTCCAGTCTTAAAATAAAAATCTGAACTGCTAGTATCCAAGACAAAGAAATAGTATGTAAAGTTTCCCAGGGAGTTCTTGGTTCCAGGAGCATCTCTTTGGAGAGCTGTTGCAAAGAACACTTTTTGGGGAATGATACTCAAGAATGTTCCAATATATCATCTTGTTGGGAGTCACGTAAATGTACCTAGGTTTACTTTAGAGGCAACCTAAGAGCAAATAAGATTTTTAACTCACTTGATTGTCTTCTGAAATTAGACCTATGAAGAGATTGTGTAGAAAGACTTTCTCCTGTGATTAGCCAAGCTTCTCATACAGGGTATTCTCAGACAACATCCTGGTCTCTATGAGATGTTTGCCTAATGACAGTCATTGTGTTGGGGGCAATGGGTTTTAACTCACTGTTTTTCTGAATTATAGTCTGTTTTAGTCACTGTAACTCTCTTGAAAGATAGGAAAGAAATTGTGTGCAAAATCTTTTTTTTTAATTTATTTATGCATACAAGAACTGGGGTATAGGTCAGGGGTGGGGTGGGGACACAGGATTCAACAGAGACAGACTAGGGGACAGAATCGGCAGACATGCTGAAATACACTGCTGAGGAGACAGCAGACCTCTGCTGCACCATGTGGGCCAGCTTCCTGGCTGGGGCGCCAACTCATGCTGCAGTGACTGCTGATACCTTGATAGCTATGTACTTTAACCCCTGAGGCCCCTGGGGCACC